TGTTATTAAAAGCTATATTTGTTTTAAAGTAATTTAATAGCTATTAATAGTGATATATAAGTTATATAATATAACAATATTAAAGAATATGTAATTTCATACGAAACTAATATTATAAATTAATGTTGAATAAATAATTATTTAATTTGAAAAATATTGTATAACTGTATAACACATCTAATATCAAACTAACTTAATATGGATTTTAATATAACGTAATAAAGTTGATTGTTATGTGCCCTCACCTAAAGTGTAACAATTATTATAAAATACAATAACTTATATTTGACTTTCAAACCAGAGTTTCATTAATTTTCCTCAAATATGATTGATAGTGAGGTCAACGAAAGTGAGACTTTCTGTGAAGTTATTCAAAGAATTACAATATATAAACTTTATATATTTATTATATTTATTTATTTAGTTTTTTGCACTCATTTGTCAATATATAGCATAACATAACCTTATTATATAATTGTTGTACAGATACATGTAATATTACTGTATATTGTAAAACATGTATAAAACCGCACAAATCGAGCAATTATTGTCCAAACAAATTGTAGTGAAGTTTGTCTGAGTTTGGTTTTATCAGTTTAAAAGTTTAAATTCTGCTCCAGTAATAAATCATAAAAATTTTATTACAATTAATTTTGATCAACAAATTTGATAAGAAGTTGCATTCGCTTGAAGTCAGCACTAGTTTTAAGCGAGAATTTCCAATAAAATAGTGTATCTGAAGAGAACGCATGACTTCTAAACACAATTACCATTTCATAGGAGTTTTTAGCTGTAAATCGACGGCACATATACTGTACGAGTCGTACAGGTATGGAATGCAAGTTTCACTTCCACACAGACTCCAGATTCTCAATTCACTCATGTGTTGATCCAATGATCGCATCATCCCTTCAGTCCATTTCATCACTTCATTTAATATTTTAATATATTTTTCTATTCCCTTTGTTTTTATTTATATTTTTGTTAATTTAATATTTAAATTGTTTTAAAAAATCAACGAAAATGACGCTAAATATGAAAACAGTGGACGAAATCAAGAATTTATTCAGTTTTGCTGATTATAGTGTGTTTGCGGCTATGCTTTGCATATCAACAGCGATTGGTCTCTATTATGCTCTTAAGGTATTATAAATTTATTAAATTAAAGTTAATATTTTAATTACATTATACACATACAAATTATTATGCATTGGAATATAAATATTTTACATTTCAAATTATATATTAATTATATTTAAATCAGAATTTCATATTCTAATACAGAATTCATTATTCATAAACATATTTCTAAAATATCTTACATTTATTATAAACCAAATCAATCAAATATTATCGATTACTTTATTTAAATGTTTTGCATAATTATGTCAATTAATGTTTTCGCTATTTAATCATGTGTTTTATTTCCATAAATTAGTTAAACAAAACTTCACATTTAGATTCTTATCATTTTTATCGATTTTATAATAATATTTTCGACGTTTTTGTTATATTTGTTAAATTTTTCTGTTAAAAAGAGGATTTATGTAATATAAAAGACGTTATGTTTTTAAAATACAAAGTCATTAATTCATTGCTTAACATTACCTCAAATCAAGTAATGAAATGCATTTTTGGTGTTTTAAAACAAAATTTTAAACGATTTTTGAGACCTTGAATTTAAGTAACCTATTTTAACTCATGCTGTTTTGCTGCGAAAAAAAGTGAAAACATTTTTCACACTAAAAGTTTCTATTCAATAATAATGAAAGTTTTGTATAGAGAATAATATTGCAAATTGTTTGTAATTTTAATTATATAACAAATAATTCAAAAGGTTTATTAAGAATTGAATGTTTAAATAAATGTTGAAATTTGACATTTATTTAGTTTTTTTAAATTTATTGAATATAATCAAAAATATTTTTATTGACACAAAAGTTGATAATGAGTACAAACTTTTACTATTTCAGAAATAAAACAATTATTTATCAAATAACAAATGACATCGCATTCAGAATTTTAGTGAAAGTTACTCTATTTAGAAAAAGGTAGATTTATTTCAATGATTATCACTCGAGCAGTGGTTGTTATCATTTTACTCGTGATTTTCAAATCTTCAACATATGTCATATAAAAATATGAAATTTTATTCAAAAAATAAAACAATAATATTCCATAAAATTAGGCAAAATATTAATGAAAATTTACGAAAGAAGTACTTAATTTACATTTTAATTATTATTTTACCTGATTATAACTGATCAGTGATCATACATGGTATATAAAGTAAATCTAAGCAAATTGATAGAAAGCTATTTAATAGAAAGCCGATTATAATATACTTTTCATGCTATAAAATGACCCAAATTTAATAGTTTGCTATATTAGAAATTTGTACAAATTTAAAGTTTTTAAACAATATATGAAATGTCGATAATTTAAATATTTTTTGAACAGGATATAAACGAGCAATTCATACATACTTTTGTATGATTTTTGTAGAATGTATTATATATAATATGTTTATATATGGAATTACTGTATAATCATTTATTTCTTTTTAACTCATTAATTTAATTCATTATTAATATTACCGGTATAAATTATTTTTTAACGTGATTATTACGTAAATCTAGAAATTTATCCTAAATTTATTAGATTGTTTTTATTATTTATAATTATACCTTATTTTAAATAATAAATAATAACAATTGAATTATAAGAATAGATATATTTATAACATAATATAAGATTGTAATTGAATTAATCGATAAACACAACAGAAATTACATTTCAAACAGATTTATAGCAAATATTTATAAACTCATAAAAACGATAACTTCTCTAAACTAGAAAATACCCGATTATATTAAATCACAAATAATTATCACATTATTCTAAAAATATTATGATATTATTGATAAAATTGTACTTATATAAAATCTTAACTCTTAACAGAATTTTATTACTGTATTATTATTATAGATAAACATTAAAAATAATACTTTAAACAAATGATAATCGATTAAATTTGTTGTGTTATATATTAGGACAGAAAAAATGTTTCCAATAAAGAATTTTTGACGGCAAACAAGTCCTTAAGTATGTTTCCGGTGGCGATGTCTCTGTTGGCCAGCTTTCAAAGCTCTGTCACTATTCTTGGATATCCCGCAGAAATGTTTTACAGGGGAACACAGTTTTGGTATTGGTTTTTATTAAATAATTTTGATTCTCAAGTATTTAATTGTTTAAAATGTTATACATTTGAAGGGCAGTTATGATATCGGGTGCCATGGCTTCTATAATAGCGGCTGAAATATTTCTTCCCGTCTATTATAAGCTCCAATTTACGAGTGTTAACAAAGTAAGGCATTGTTTTGTCCTAGTTTTGTGTATTAAATGGACAAATATATTGAATAATGGATTGCATTACAGTATTTGGAGGAGAGATTTAAGAGCGAAAGAGTTCGGTTAGCCGTCTCCCTCTCATTCCTCTTGTGTACCATTCCTTATATGGGAGTTGTCTTATACGGACCTTCACTCGCACTCGGATCAGGTATTGATTCACATTTTATTAATACTTCAAATATTAAGAAAGGAAAGGATTGCATTCTAATTAATTTTTTAAACAAAATATTTACACATCAATTAGAAAGTTATGAAATTTATTATAGATTTGAATATTAGATAATGTTATGCTAAATATTAATATAACTATTAAAACCAGAATCGAAAGGCAACTTTTCCTTAAGACACTTAACAGTAAGCTCTTACAGTTTTTGTTACAGTTGTTGTATTAACAAAAGTTACAGTTAATGCTATAGTTTTTAGAGACAATTTTTTTAGCAATTTATCTGTAAATATCATGTTGTTTTAAATATGCAATATTTATTTTAGTGACTCCTATAAGCGTATCGACATCTGTGCTAATTGTTGGCAGCATTTGTACACTCTATACATCAATTGTAAGATAATTCTCATAATTATATACGTATATTATTT